GGCCTTGCAATTTCAGCAGTAGCTTCATGCAACGTCAATGGTGACGGTAGAGCCAAAGGGTGGAGGGCGGCGATCCAAGGTCGCACAGGATCTGGTGGGGGATCTGGCAATTTGCTAATTTCACGCCTCTTTTTTTTGTAAAACTCTTCTCCCTCTCGCCAGGGGATGAAGCTGGGCTGCAACAAAGGACGGCGGAAGAGATCGAATTCTTTGGTGGTGACGGTGATTTTGGCGATACGGCTCGCCGAATTGGTGGAGGCCGGCAAATTAATCATGCAGCGGCGGTTTCTCTTTGTCGGCTGCGGCTACTCACTGTGGGGCGGCGACAGCTTCTCATTGTGGGGCGGCGGCTTCTCTTTGGTTTGAAGGAAAACCCCCCATTCTTTCCCTTCTAATTTTTCGGTTTCTGGCGGCAGAAATTCAGAGGATATTTGGGCTAGGATTTCGCCCATTGAGAAATGATAACCAGAGGTGGTTTTTTTTTAATCGGGATCTCTCTCTCTTTTTTTTTGTTGGCGTGGGGAAAAAAGAACAAAAAACAATTCTGCTCCTCTTTTCTTTCATCTCCTTTTTTTTTGAGCAACACCTCCCTCTCCTCTAATCCTTTGGAAATGAAGAAACTAAAAAAATATGGCTTTTCGCTCAGGTCCCACGGTCGGCGCCAAAAATGATAGTGTAAATTACTTGACCGGTCAAACTATACTAGACCGGGTCTAGAACAGTTGGCTAGATTCAGTAAAAGTAAAGAAAGTAAGAACACTCAGAATGACCGGTAGGACTTTAGGTGGAACACCTGTAGTCCGAATTGTATTAAAACAGAGAATGCACGGTCACTTTTACAAGGGAGTTTAGAGAGAATGAATTCGGATCCCCTTCTCCGAGGGTTACAAGTGGTATATATACTAAGTTAGGGGGGGGCAGGACCACGTGCGCCCACGTGGGGGCATGCTGCTGGCGTGGGGTGACCTGACTGGCTCTGCCTTGTCATCTTGCGTGGGAGGCTGCGCCTTTGTCGTGTTCTGGCTTGGAAATGTTCCTTCGGCATCTCTGCAATTCCAACCACTACAGTCCAAGTCCTCTTGGATTCTCCCTGCCGACACCCACCAATCCTCTGAAAGTATACCGGTTGAACATTGAGGGTTGGTTTGGCCAACTTCGAAGGATGAATTTAGACCATGGGCGAGTTTGACCGGTATACTATCCGAAGTATACCGGTCGAAGCTTCGGTCAATCGTCTGCTGATTCATCACTTGCCTTCGAGCTTGACCTCTTTGACCGGTCAATGTTTTGGCCCGGATCTTTGACCGGTCATGGGTGAAATACTACCATCAACTCCAACTTCTTTATACATATGACATAACTTGTATCTTTTCCATTCAGGTTAATCCTAGAGTTGTTTTAGGTAAACTGATTAAATCATTAAACTTCTCACTCATGATTTCATAACATCAATTAATAAGAATTACATATCCAAATATAACCAACCATGATCAAACATCAACCTACCATTGGGTACAAATACCCATGCGTACCGTCATACACATACAAGGTCTCGAGATCAATCCTTGACGACACAAAAACAAGTTCGTAAATAAAACTGTTTCATGTTTGATGCATAAGAGAAACAATTACAAAGAATATGATTGTTTTACTATCGCTCTAAAAATTAAATTCTAAAATTTTTGAATTTAATCGCTTTTCTTTGGACCACCTAAGCTACAGATGGAGGCTATAACATAAGATAAAACTAGTGAGGTTCAATGGTCAAATATACGGAGTATGTATATATAGAGGTGAATGATATATCTCAAAATTTAATGAGAGCCAAAGCCTATAATGTTACACCACTTCAAGTGGTATAATTTCGTGACACCAGTGATTTTGAGACACATACGATGGTCTGTTCGTAAAATTAATGATTCTTATCTCACATAAATCTCTAAGGTGGAGGCGGCTGAAGTTGATGGGTCAGAAGAATTTAGAGAAGGTAGAAACTATCAATTTTACGAATAAAAGGCGTTTCAAAATAACGGGTGCCACGAAGTGATGTTATTTTCGTTGGTGTGATAATTCTCCAAATTTGATAAACGTGTAGTATAATGCAAGATTATGGGCATGATTGCATGAATTATGCCATTTTTACAGTATTCGGTCGCAAATCTACTGACCTCCTTCCATCGGGGGTAGGTAACGGGGAGACCGTTGACCAGCGCACCCACGCGGTTGAAATCGGGTCACCGGAAATGTAGAGAGTGTCGGCTGTTACACAGTTACCGGTTGATGACGTGGCAGCTCACCCACTCCCGATCTGATGTATGTAGCCCGAATCACGCCACAAGGGGGCTCGTCCCCGTCCCCCTATATATACCCCTTTCTCCCCCCCACTTTTCTCCCGTCCCCTTCGCCTCCCATTCCTCCGCTCCATCATTCCATTTCCAGACTTTCTCTGTGAGTTCTCTCTCTCTCTCTCTCTAGAAGTTCATGCGAGGCATTAGTTGCTTCATTATTCTTCGTTAACTGTTTAGATCTGAGTTAATTAGCGCCGTAATTTTGAACTGTTCAGTCGAATTCTCTGTTTTTCTTTTTTTTTTGCTTGTTCGTTGAATTTGATCCGGCGACGGCATAAGATGAACTGTGTTGGTATCGTTTGATTAGATCTGCGATGCGCGGTGAGTTTGAATCGTTTTGAGTACATAAATCTGTAGTCACAGCTGTTTTTTAGTTCCAGTTTTTGAGCTTTCGTCCTCATTCATTAGATCTGCTGAAAAAAACTGGCGTGTTGTTTTATGAAGGAATCATGTGTTAGTTGAAACCAATATGAAGGGATTGAATTCGGGATGATTTGTTTCTAGTTTGTGTTTGATTTCGTTGGTGATTTGAAGCTGAATTGCTGTTTTTTTACTTGGATCGTGGACTGTTTGTTAGTTGATCGAGGTAATTTTCTGATCTGCGGTTGGTTTTCTATTGATCTGTATGTGCAGCAAGCAGATCGACAGAAATGGAAACTTTCTTGTTCACATCCGAATCTGTTAACGAGGGGCACCCTGACAAGCTCTGCGACCAGGTCTCTGATGCTGTGCTCGATGCTTGCCTCGCTCAGGACCCCGAGAGCAAGGTGGCCTGTGAGACCTGCACCAAGACTAACATGGTCATGGTTTTCGGAGAGATCACCACCAAGGCTGAGATCGATTATGAGAAGATTGTGCGTGATACTTGCCGCGAGATCGGGTTTGTGTCCGATGATGTAGGATTGGACGCTGACAACTGCAAGGTCCTTGTTAACATTGAGCAGCAGAGCCCTGATATTGCTCAGGGTGTTCATGGTCATTTGACAAAGAGGCCGGAGGAGATCGGTGCCGGTGATCAGGGCCACATGTTTGGGTATGCCACCGATGAGACCCCTGAGTTGATGCCACTCAGCCATGTCCTTGCAACTAAACTCGGAGCTCGGCTCACCGAGGTCCGAAAGAATGGGACTTGCCCTTGGCTTAGGCCAGACGGCAAGACTCAGGTCACGGTTGAGTACTTCAATGATAACGGTGCCATGGTCCCGGTCCGTGTCCACACCGTTCTCATCTCTACCCAACACGATGAGACCGTCACAAACGACGAAATCGCCCGTGACCTGAAGGAACATGTGATCAAACCCGTGATCCCGGAGAAGTACCTTGATGAGAAGACCATTTTCCACCTCAACCCTTCAGGCCGTTTCGTCATAGGCGGGCCTCACGGTGATGCCGGGCTGACCGGACGTAAGATCATTATCGACACATACGGCGGGTGGGGCGCTCACGGGGGCGGCGCTTTCTCCGGGAAAGATCCTACAAAGGTGGACAGAAGTGGGGCCTACGTGGTCAGGCAAGCAGCCAAGAGCATTGTCGCCAGCGGGCTTGCCAGAAGGTGCATTGTGCAGGTGTCCTACGCCATTGGCGTGCCAGAGCCACTGTCTGTGTTTGTGGACAGCTATGGAACCGGAAAGATTCCGGACAAGGAAATCCTGAAGATCGTGAAGGAGACCTTTGATTTCAGGCCGGGGATGATCGCCATCAACTTGGACCTCAAGAGGGGCGGGAACAACCGGTTCTTGAAGACCGCCGCGTACGGGCATTTCGGCCGAGACGATGCCGACTTCACATGGGAAGTTGTGAAGCCACTCAAGTGGGACAAGCCTCAAGAGGCTTAAGTCAAAATGGACATGGCTGGTCCTTCCCATCATCTTCCACAAAACACACCTTTATCAACCCTTTTTCTTTAGTGTGTTACTAGTGTTGCATGGATTGATTGATCCTCCTGTCTGTTTTCTTCTTCTTCTTCTTCTATGTTTGGGTTTTTGGTTTTAAACATTAATTATGTGTTGTTGTTGTTAAACCATAAGTATGATTGATTATACAAGTGTCGTTTGGCTTGTACTTTTCTAGATTTTAGTAATGGTAAGCAGCTTTACTTAAGACTTAAAAGCACCTGTGACTATGCCTAGTGATGAAATGGTTTTGATTTGAAAAAATGATTGCTACCTGCGGTATTTTAACTTTTACAGAATTAGATTCCTCATCTGACAGAAGATAATGGGAAGAAATCAAAATCACAGTAGCTTACAAAAATGGGTCATCTTAGGGTGCCCCATCATCCCCAAAAGATTCCTACTTGGAGTGTACTCATACTTTGTAAAAATCGTAAAAATAATACAGAAAATCATTTGTGCAAAGTATGGATATACGCATTTGGGAAGTATGGGTGCCGCATCAATACGGTATATTGTTTGATGTGATGAATGAAAAGGCTGGAATGAGTTGTAACGTGTGAGGGTGTCTTACAACTTTCAAGTGGGATGAGCAAGGACCCGGATGGAAAAGATGGATTGGGTGATTTGGGTCACACACAAGTTGGACCAAACTAGTTCTCAAGAGATATTTGCACACTACACATTACTATTTACATTATACTTTTGTTATTTAGAGGGCGACTAATGACAATTGCCTGGATTATCTTTTTCATAAGCACTCGCTAGCAATATATATCGTACAACTGGTTGTACGATTGTTTCTTGTACATCTGTCGCGAGTACCCATTCTCGAGCAACTGAAGACTTATTTTTTAAAATTCATTTTTGCTCGAATATGAGTATTCAGTTAGTCAGAAATGAGTATTCATACAGATGTATGTACTCGCTTTGTAGAGAAATTAATATTCGTATGAGTAAATTCCATAATTGGTCCTTTATAACTGGGGGATTTCATTATTTAGTCCTCTATTATCAAATATTATCCCAGTGGTCCTTCTTTTATGGGTATTTTTCCACAAATAGTTCTTTTTTTATTTTCTATCATGTTGGTGTTAATTTGAGGGATAAAAGTGTAATTTTGCAATGATAATATATCTTTTTTTTCATACACAACTTCAAAGGTTGTTCCGTTTCCGTCGTTTGTGAATTACAGTTGCTTTCTACTGCAACCATAGTCTACAAATGTGGTCTTTCGTCGGAGTCCTAGCCCACAATCATAGTCAATATTTTTGTATTATCCGTTTAACCAATATCAGAACACGTCACTAAACATAATGTTGATGTCAAATTATACTTTTAGCCTTTAAATCAATACCAACATGGCAGAAGATCAAAAAAAGGACCATTTGTGGAAAGGCACCCTTAAAAAAAGGACTACAGGGGTAATATTTGATAATAGAAATATGGAAATCCCCCTGTTATAAAGGACCAATCATGGAATTTACTCTATTCATAGGGAGTACTTTCTTGCTTTTTTAGGACATTCTCTATAGTCACACTTCTATTTTTTGTTAAACTAAAAGACCAAATATTCTACTCCGTATACTACCTCTAGTTTTTTCCAATATCTTTTCCTACTACCTCTACATCTCACCATCACTTTATTCATCTACCCTCCCATTATCTTTCTCCACATATTTTATGAGTGTCATTTTGTTCCTGTCATGTCGTTTCTTATATCCATTAATGCCTCTCATCTACACATTTCTATCCTTTGTCTCCTTCAGCATAGTTGTAAATCATTTCTGTGCCTCTTTCATCCTTTTTCCATTATCGTCTCTCATCTAGACATTTTCAGTAATTGCCACGCCGTATTGGATCCAGAGATCTATCAATACCTTCGTTCAACCTCCTCAGTTAAAGATTCGAGTCTTCTTGATATGTTCCGAGTGACAATGTAATTTTTTAGCTTATCGGAATTATCATTCTAGTCTAAGTATAGGATGATAAGCTAAGTCGAAAGACTAAGTACCAAGATGAAACTCACAAGTCATTAGGATGACTATAGGTGGGAAGACATATAGCCTAGTTGTAGCTAATATTTTTGAGAGAGTTTGAGCAGTATTGTAGTTTATAAGCTTACAAGACTAGAGAAGTAAAATTGAATCAACTCCCATGGGAATTTATAAGAGTATTTTTAGTTGAATAAAGAGATATCATCACATGCGGCCATGTTGTGCCCATGTTCTTAACAAGAGCATATCTCTGAGTGGATGGTACCTTTGTATTATAGTCCTTTAATTTCAACTTATTGTCTCGGTCAATTCAAATGGCTACTGGAAGATCTCTTGTTGCACTATGGCAAAATAGATGTGAGACAAGTTTGAAATCACAGATGAAGACACAGATCAAATTTATCAAGCTTAAATTTGTTTCTAATCAATGAATATTAGCTTTTTAGAATGAAAGAAAATAAGAAAATCGATGAGATGTTTGATCAACTTCTTAAGATCATAAACAATCGAAATCCTCTGAATAAGAAGTACTAATAAGGAATCGGTGAAGAAATTCCTACAGAAATTAGTGATATGCAAATTAAGAAAAATAATTATACGATTCATATTTATTGATGTTTGAAGAATAGGAAAAAGTAAAAATATATATGACATAAATATTAGTGGAACATACAAAAATAAAAAAGAAAGGGACACAATTTTTTTCTACTATTTTCATTTTTTTCCAACTCTTAATTTCTTCTACCTCTTTCCAATTTTTTTCAATTTCTTGAATTCTATTTAGTTTATTTCAACTACTTCAATTTGTTTTAATATTCAACTTTATTTTTCTCATTTAAAGAGAGAGCCCAATTGTACCTATTGAGTCAATAAAAAAATGCTAAAAGCGTTTTTAGTTAAGCGGTGAAACATTGACAACTTTTGTTTTTCAAGATCATTCTCAGTTCATACTGCATACCAACTAAGTTTGCCAACAAAAAAATAATTTCACTATAAGAAGTTACTTACAAATAACTTATACATAAGTCGTATTTGATTTTTTTAATATGTCAAGTTTTTTGTAGAACAAAGCACATAATATTAAGCACCAAACAATCTGAATACAAATTCACACCCTACTGTTGCCCTACCCATACAGTCAAAACAGAAACTAGGCCAAAACTGTAACACCAGAAATCAAGAATTAAGTGAACCATATCTATTCCCAATCGCCATCACAATAATAGTCTTCAAGATTTTCACAATATACTCTTTAGTGACCTCTTTTTTGCTATGAATTTTGAGACTTCTAGCCTTTCACAAGAAATAACAGCATGCCTCTACACATGTAGCAATAAGCCAACAGTCTTTCTTATTCTTCCTCACCCTCAGTTTTTGCTCCAACTTAGCAATGGAGCTAGAAGAAATGTCATACTGTATCTATTTAGAAATAATTTTGCATATGGGCTAGAGCAGAACAAATGATCACCTATTTCCACTCCCTTATCACACAACACATAGTTAGTATCAATTGTTATAAATCTGCATATTCTATCCCTAGTGGAGATTCTACCTTTCAAGATTAGCCAAGATATGGAACGATATTTAGGAATGAACCATTTGTTCCATACTAAGTCAGCCCAATCCACTCTCATATGTGTGCCTCTTAACCAGTCATACCCCTTGTTTATATCATAATCACTTCTCATGTTCATGCCCAAAAAGAGTCTTTTTGTTTGAATCATCTTCTTTTAGTACTAACAGTCATAATCTTTTATGGAGAAATTTGTCCTTTTTATTAGCTATATCCAACATAAACTTCATAACACAAGCCTGGTTCCGCTTTAGCAAGTTCTTCAATCCCAAACCACCTTCTTGTTTAGGGAGACAAACATCTTCCCATTTGATAATGAGACTTTTCTTATACTCAGGTGTAGAGCTCCAAAGGACATTCTTGCAAAGGGCCAAATTTTCTTCATAACAGTGTTAAGTAATAAAAAATTCTGCTCGAGAAAAACACAACACCATACAACACTAAGTTAATCAATTTTGTCCTTCGTTCTAGCATAGGAAAGGTGTTTAGTAACCCATGAGGATATTTTCATAATGATCTTTTCCACTAGCTTATCACATTCCCTTTCACCGATACGAGATGCAGAAATACGACCTCCCAAGTATCTAAAAGGAAAAGTTCATTTAGACAATTTGGTCCTCTCCATTATGCTATTGTAGATATCCCCCGGAACTCCCCCTACAAACACTTGAGATTTATCATAATTGAGCTTTAGGCCAGTAGTATCCTTTAGATGATCAAGACTAGAAAGGATACAATTAATAGAATGAAGATCAAGTTTGTAGGCCACTATTAAGTCATCAAGAAACACAATGTTCATGAGCTTAAGAGACTTGCATCGAGGGTGAAACTTGAACCTGTCATCTTTAGAATAGAAACTAAAAGCTCATGTAAGGTACTTCATTATAAGGGTGAATAATAGGGGAGACATTGGATCCCTTTGTGTGATGCCTTTACCTCCCTTGAAGAATCCAAAAACCTCACCATCAGGTTGCACAGAAAATACTGCACTTGTAGCACAATAATTAATTTCATTGGAAACTTCAAGGCCTCCAACATTATCATCCTAGTTTGACTTTTGAAGTTAATTTAACTATAAATTGAGTAAAAACAACTATTTAGTTATAATATAAATTTAATATAATTGAATTTATTTTAAGATATACTTTTGATACATTAAATTTTTATATGATTTATTTATTTAAAAGTTAAAATTATATTTAATTTGTAATCAAAGTAACCACAAAAGTGAAACTAATACGATAATTTTAAGACGAGTGAAATATATTAGTATTCATGCATATTTTTATTGATCATTTGGTAATAAAATTGTTCATTTGTTGTTTACATGGGCGTAACTTAAAAGCATGGGTGGCCCGGAAGGTGTGCAAATTAAAATGTAAATTTCGGATCGGACCAATTTCATTTCTCACACCGGAGGGTGTGCAAAAGGTAAACTTTATTTACTTCAAATGGACCTTACCACATACTCATAAGTTTTTCAGAAAAAAGTTTTTTAGAATTGAACAACAGAACCCTATCACTTGGTATGAATTCCTTCATAGGTAGCCCAGCATCATGGAAGGCTTTGGATTTTCCTTTATAAGTCACAGAAATATCATAGGCATCCATTCTAAGTTCTTCTTAGTCTTGCATATGAAGTTTTCTTTCCTTCCAGCCTGATCATATTCCAGATTAACCT